GTCCAGATGGGTTCTTTGAGGCCCCTTCCCATAAGTTCTGAGAATTCTATCATAGAGGGGCCATCTACAGGGAGATGAATTCTATTACAATTGCCCTAATCCCAAAGATGGAAGGTGCAACAGAATTTTAAGACTTTTGGCCCATTAGACGACCAAATATTTATTACAAGATACAATCAAAAAAGTAGATTCTCAACTCAGTAAAGTCCTAAATAATGTTATATCTGCAAAGTACCTTTGTTATGGATCGCCAAATACGGGATGGAACCACTATAGCAAACGAAGGTATCCATACTAAGTCTGCAGTAGCTTGTTTGGTTCTCAGACAAGACTGGGAGAAAAGTATAATAATGTAGATTGGGATATCATGGATCAAGTTCAAAACCTCATGGCTTTTCGCCATAAGTGGAGATCTTGGATCTTGGGGTGTGTCATCAGGGTACATCTCGGTAATGGCTATTCCCAAGGGTTATTCCCGGCCTCGAGAGCCTTCACCAAGGGGACATCTATCCCCCTTTCTGTTTGCCACAATGGCTGAAGTATTTGGCAGATCCGTTTTGAATATACAGGAACAATCTGATCTAGGGTTTCAAAAGCTCTAAAAGGGGATTTTCGATCTCACTGCCAAAACGCATATGACTCTAGTGTTCTGTGATGACTCCCCTAAAATATAGACAAACTTTGGTTGTACTTAGGCGTTTTGAACTCTCAAAGGCTTGAAGATAAATATGATTAAAATGAAACTTATGGGAGTGGGAGTGCGCTTAGGGTTAGTATCAGACCTTGCTAAGAGGTTGGGATGACTCATTACCAACCAAATGCGTGTTCCTTCCTCTATCCCTTGGCAGACCAGGCAAGAATGTAGACTATAGTTGTTGGAACCATCTCTGATTCTGAATCGTTTCTGGAATCGGAATTGTGGAATCTCGTGCATCAGAAGTTTCGACATCTAGGAATCGTTGTATGTACGATTCGGAATTGAGAAAAATGATTCTCACTATTTTAGAATCGCGATTCAAAAAATTAGGAATCGTGTTTTCTATTTGCAATAATCAATGTCCCTTCATGTTGGAATCGTGTTTCATACCTATATGGAATCACACATGACCCCACTTGTTTCGGTGGTTGCTGGAATCGTGATTCATAAAAATAAGGAATCGTAATTCCTAAAATTCTAGAATCGTTGTCCCCATCAACATGAAATCAACATTCTTACCATTTCGGAATCATGATTCTCCCCATATTGGAATTGAGATTCTCCCCTTACTAGAATTATTCCTCCGGTATATGAGAGAAGTATTCAGAAAATATATAAATTCACCCATTACTACAAGATCAAATTTTGGTCTGTATGTACTCAGTCCAAGACTCCAAGAACTAATGTCAACCTTTATGATATCTTTGTGGACAATCCCATACAATGGACTCAGTCTACCGATAACCTTATTATGCCTACAAGGTCTGGAGCTAGTCTACGGCATACAAGGAATGAGAACAAGGGTGAGCTCCCTCTATCTCCTTTCCTTGAATTATAAAATAAGTACATGACATAGTAATTGTTCTTTGTTAAATGTAGTTTTGAGTCTTTTGACTTTTGAAAATTTGAGTTATTCAATTTTTAGTCAATTTCTCTAATATTGAATGAATAATTTAACCTAAAACACCACACAGGGCACTTCGCTTATATCCTTATTATCTTCTTATTCTACTTCAAGAAAAGCATTTTTATCCTCTTATTCAACTTGAAGAAATGACGGTGCCGATTTTTTTAGTATTATCTATCCTCTTACCAAACATCATTAAATTTGAAGTAACATGTTTTTTTTAGTATTATTTATTCTTGGTAAGTGTTAACATGGAATGAAGGATGGAAATTAGTAAATAAGAAAATAAAAAATTTAACATATCACCCATATTTTAAATTTTGATTTTATTGCCGTGTGCAACAACTTCAAATTCTCTCACGCTCTCATACATGTCGCGCTCACTCATGATTGAGCACACATCGGAGGGTTTCTACTCTCCCTATGCTCACATTACATTCATGTTATATATTATTTAGTTGAAAACTTGAAGTTCCTATTCTCACATTACTTTCATGTTATATTATTTAGTTGAAGACTTGAAGTTCCTATTCTCGCATTACTTTCATGTTAATATTATTTAGTTCAAGAATTAAAGTTCCTATTCTTTGAACCAACGTTTATTATATGTAGCATTGTTGTGTAGAAAAGAATCACGATGTCTGCGATATAGAAACTTGATTCCAAACATGGATTTGTAATTCCAAAAACTTTGGAATCAACGTTTCTCACAAGCAGAATCGCATTCTTGTGTAGCTAAGAATCATAAAGTCCTCGATATGGAATCTTGATTCCGGCAATCCAGGAATCGAGATTCTTAAACTAGGTGGGATTGTGTTCCGCAAAAAAGGGAAATGTGATTCCTTTCTTTTAAAATCAACTTTCGCCCGGGGAAACGCCGAATCAAAATTCTGAAACGAAATCGCTACCCTCATAGGCGATTCAGGTAACTATAATGTAGACCATAGACTGTTGGCATGAAAGGAAGTTTTCTCTCCTAAAGGGAAAGGCATACTTTGATAAAAGCCACCCCGTCAAAAACATCCATGTTTAATAGTGTTTCCTCTACCATGTTCCCGTGGCCATTGTCAAAAGGGTGAAGCGCTTGATGAGAGACATTTTACTGTAAAAAGACATTTTACTGTCAAAAGCTGGAGTTTACAAATTCTATCTTGTGAATTGGGAGATAGTTTGCGAGCCCAAAAGAGGAGGGGGCTGGAGCCCCAAATTCTGAGAATATCTCAATTGGGGTAACTGGCAACTTATCTGCTGACTCTTCTTCCGCAGAACTGAAATACCTAATGAACAAACACACAACAACCTCCCAACCCCTCAATTAGGGGCTGCCTAGCCCAACATCAAGTGAATCTGTCAAAAAGTCATACTGTATATTGTAGAGTACATGAACAGTTTTACCCAACCGAACACAGCTAAGTACACTAATTCTTTTGCTACAGAATCGCTCACATACTCCTATTCTTGTGATCACAACAACCTAAATCAATCTCTTCGTTCTTGAGTCCAAATGATTCTTTTCTAAAGATATTAGTCAAATCAAGCTGGTGATTCAAGCACAGTGCATCTATGCCTCCATTAGTGAACAGCTCTCCTTTAGCAGTCTCCCCGATCATGACTTCACTCCTACTATGATAACAGACGCATCCATCAAGCCTGATCTCTTTACTTGGTCTGGCTTACTTGTCTTACCTGGCTTACTTCCCAAAAAGGAGATCTTTATAGAATAACAGACCCATCCCACAATATTTGAAAGCAAGCACTAGTGACAAGCACAAGAATGTCGATCCAATAAAAAGATGCACCACAATCCAATAAGAACAATAAAACCATAACACATGCTCTATCCGCAAAGAAAGAGCTTAATTTTATATTTGCACTTAAATCATTGCTAGAAGATTGTTTTGTTATATATGAGCCAAACTGCCTAGATTGAACCATCTAATGGTCAGCAATGAGGGGGCATTTTGTTCCATATTTTGTGTATTAATTTTTTAATTTTCTTGTTGGTGTACATAGGTTAGGTGCATGTCTTCCCAAAATTTCAGATAAACATGATTTATAAGAATGTAAATTTATCAAATACACCTAAGCAACTAACTATTTAACATTTTACCCATATGTTTTGATTTAATTTCAAAAGGCGCATCAAAAAAAATTGGAATAGTTAAAAATGACTAAAATGTTAAATAGTTGATAAGTTACGTTTACTTCGATTAATTTCCTAACTAAGAATTTAAAAAAATGGAAGTGTGCATACACATCAGCCCTCCACATTTGTGAAATTGAATCCGAGCCATCTGCGCTGCACTGTTTTGTAGGTCGGCTGACTCACAATGCACACCCACACGCACGCACGCGCACACACACACACACACAAAGGAAATGATGGTGCCCTCAGAAACCATTCTTGAAGTATGTGAGAGACCCATAAAATGCGCAAATAGTCTACCCCAATCTAAAAAAGCCTTAGACCAAATGATTTTGAAATGGAGATATCTAAAAATGCTCCAAATACTCCATTGCCCCAAAATGCGATATAAACAATCCATTAAAGTGACTGCAGACATAGGGTTTATGGGCCTCCAAATCAAATATTATTCAAGGGGAATAGTTACAAGACTATTTGCTGTTTTTTGGGTCCCTTGCACACCTCCAAAATGGTTTGAGGTGGAGGAAGCACCAATGGACATGCCCAACGGTAGCACACTCATGTATGTGTACAAGCCCACATGCTCATACACACATATATGTTGCTTAAAGAGAAGCCTAACTTCATTTTCTACAGTATGATGCCTCACCGGTAAACCTTTTTCACTTTCATTCTTGAACCTAATAATTTTTTTGGTGGCAACAAAATCTTCATTAATGTGATTAATGCCCTTTACAATATTAACAAACTTGGCCCTAAATGGCGGGCCCTAAGAGACTAATAAATAAAAATGCAGGAGAGGTCAAGATTGATAAAAATTATTGGCCTCAAGATTTTTCTCAATCATGAAACCAATAATTTAAAACTTAAAGCAATCTGAACATAGACGCATTAATAGAAACTAGTCATTATCAGATAAGCATTGGGAGATGAAACCAGCTATTCTATTCCGGCTAGCGGAGGCACTAGTCATGGTTTACTTGTCCCCAAATCCGCCGGACAAGCGGGGAGCATATCACTTGACATCACTTAACTCCAGAATAGAGAACAACAAGGAACTAGGTCTTTATTAACTGGAAATGAAGAGAAGAGAGGAAAATCTTCGAGAGGTACTTTTAGAGTATTATCATTTACTGGGTGATTTGCAATGACAAAAAGTATCCTCGTATATAGGCATGGAAAGGAAGTACATTTAACTCAAGTGAAAAGAAGATAATTGAAAATAATGAAATCAAAGGAAGAGAACCCACCAATTCCATATCCAATGACAAGCCAAAGAAAGTAGCCATTTAAGATACCCTTCTTCTTGTATCTGTCATATCTGCATCAGCACAATGTGAACATCAGACATAAATGAAAAAAGAAAACGATAACTGAATGTGCTAAATGATGGAAATGCAGATAATCAAATTTGATAGTTTTATTGCCTTGCATTCTCAACATCAATGGAAAAGAATATCACATCTATCTTGGCACTAGAAGAACAGGAAGCCATATCAACCAATCAAAGTTTGGTGTACATAATAGTATAATACAAATATTTGATAATTGTCTATGAATCTATAATATAAGATTATCCAGCCTATTTCTGAATACTTGGTGACATGATTAGCCACATACGTAGGATATCACTCAATCCTCTAGGAAACTATAGATGTTCCTATATGCTTGAGAGCCTGTAGGGATTACTTGACCTGCAATACCTTTCTTACAAGAACTTTAATTGGAGGGTAAAGGAGAAGATAAACAAAAAAGTTGCAAGACTTCATATGCTTTGAGTTGTGAGCACTTTGAGGACATTCTTGTGAGGGCACTGCAGCCTTTTGCTCTCTTCCATTCTAGTGGTAAGCACTACGTGCTTATTGAACCGATATCTTCTAATATAGTAAAGGGCAGTCCTTGTAAATGTGAGAACTTCTGGTATAACCATGTACACAAGCTCCTTTTAAGGAATAAAGGAAAGAGAGAAAATCACTGTAGCATAGGAGTTTACTTCTGCTCTCCAAATACTAGAGTTCATTTCGTTTTGTAAAATCATCTTTGTTCTCAGGTAACAAGTGAATTCAACTTATACACCTCAGCAAGAAGAACAAGCACAGGAAGTCATGGAATAATATTAGACAAGGAGTTGTGCAATGTCATAGGAACATACACCTATTACAAGTCCAACCATAGCCAAGAGAATGGACTGAGGCCCAGAAGGTGACTGGCCTATATAAAAAGTCCAATCATAGCCAAGAGAATGGATTGAGGACCCAATCATGATGGACGGCAGAGAATGGACTGAGGCCTCTAACCACAACGTATTTAGACATGGAGTCAAATACACTGTGGATAGAGGCCCAGAATGTGACTGATATTTTGATCTTCTCGAAGAGGGAAGCAATGGAGGTGTCCTGGCCTCAGAAAATCCTGTGGTTCCTCTCGTTCCATATCGTCCATAAGAGGGCAAAGATGGATGCCTTCCAAAGGAGGATACCTGGTTTGGACCCAAGGGTATGGGTGGAGAGACGAGAAGAGGTGAGGAATGGATTGGGGGGTAACCCATTGACAATTGAAGAGGCGGAGTAAGGATCCCCAGAGGTGGTGGGCCATCGAGCAGTAGATGAATAGGCGGCCGTCGGTTTCTTCAGCTACTTGGCACATAATGCAACGGTTTGGTATAGGTAGGCCTCTCCATGGGAATTGGTTGACAGTGAGTACCCTCCCCGGGGTGACAGGAAGGTGGTTTGAAGGGGAGAGATCAAGGAACTCTTGGATTTCATTTTCTTAAGGGAGACCTGTGGAAGACAGGGGACCAAACTCTGTTGGGTCCTGTGGTCCTCAAGAGGTTGGCAACTGATTCGTGCCTATTCAGGGCTAGGAGGAAGAAGGAGGGAAATAAGTCTTTGACCGGGATGTGTCCAATCCACATGTCAGACCAGAACTTTGTTTGGGTACCCTTCCTAGCGAAAATTCGAGTGTTGTGCTGCACGGGGTTGAGGATAGCAAGGAGAGTACTCCAGAGGCTCTGCTAGTAGCTCTAACCTCGGGCAACCAGGTAGACAGGTTGAGGTTGTATTGGTGCTGCAGTACCAGTTGCCAAAGGTGGTTGCTTTGGGTGGCGTAACGCCACCACCGCTTGCCCAGTAGGGAAATATTGTTCTCTTGGAGTTTTTAAATACCTAGGCCACCATGATGGCATGGTAGGCACACTCTCCCAGGCTAAGAGGTGGAATCCGTGTTTCTCACCGTTTCCTTCCCACAACAAATTCCTCATTAGGTGGTTGATACGGGATAAGACTGTCACGAGCATCTTGAATAGCAATATTGATAAACTGGAATGTTGTATACGGTAGCTTTAATAAGTGTAGCTCTGCCAGCCAGAGAGAGGAATCGTCCTTTTCATGTGGCAAGCCATCACTCGAATTTGTCAACTATGTGAGCCCAGGAGCTGGGTTTGGGTTTGCCAATGCACAGGGGGAGGCCGAGGTGGACGGAGGAGAGGTTGTCCTTGCTGCTGCCCTAAGTCTAAGAAAAGGAGAGTGTTGATTGGGGGTCAAGGGCCACCCCAATCATTTCCATTTGTTCATGTTGATCTTGATGCTCGTAGCCCACTCAAAGCATTTAAAAAAGAGGTAGTTGGCTTGGGTTTCTTGGGGGGAAGTGTTGCAAAACACCAATGTGTCATCCGCATATTGTAAACATGAGATGACTGGGCCATGAGACCTGCAATTAAAGCCCTCCAAGAGCCCTAAACGAAAGAGGCAAGAGATGGAACAGCTGAAAACTTCAGCCACAAATGATGAAGAGAAAGGGATAAATACAGCTCATGACCCACCTCCTCCATCTATGACCAAAGCCCATACAGAAAAGGGTTCCGTCGAGGACTTGCCAATCGATGTGGTCATAAGCCTTTTCCCAATCAAACTTAATGATGAGGCTAGCGACTTTGGGTAAGTGCCTTGAGTAGACACACTCGGGTGCCACCATGACCCCATCGAGGACTCGACAGTCCTTAACAAAGGCACCTTTGCTGGGGGGGTGATAACAAGGTATCTCTAAGACGGGATGCAAGGACCTTAGACAAGATCTTATAGGAACTATTGATAAGGCTTATGGGGCAGAAGTCCTTAAGCTCCTCAGGTCCTTCTACCTAGGATACTAGGGTGATGAAGGTAGTGTTAAGGCCTTTGTGGAAGACACCCCTATGGAAGAATTCCTCGAACATGGAGAGAAAATCTTGGTGGAAAGAGGTTCAAAAGGTGCTGAAAATAGAGATGGGAAAGCCATCAGGACCTGGGGCTTTGTCTTGGGCCATGTCATGGATAGCGGTGACGATTTCGTCTTCCGAGAAAGGTAGCTCCAACCAGGAGGCCTTCTCGAGTAGAAGGGTTAAGATGATAGATCACCCATAGAAGGTCTCGATTCTAGGGGGCAGAGAAACGATTTTGGAAGAAGTCTAAATTGCCCTTTCGACCTCGAGGGGGTGCTCGAAGGATAAGTCCGCTACCTTGTTATCTTGTCTTTTACAGTTGGTAATTATGTGGAAAAAGGTGTTTTGGTCTCTGCACTTCAACCATTTTACTCAGGACCTCTAGTACCAATAAATTTCCTCTTTCTTGAGAGAAAGATATTCGAGTTTGAGATTTGACCCTTGGAATCTCTCTTCAGCCGAGAGGTTTTTGGTTTCCTTGAGTTGATCCCAATGTTCGATGGAGATAAAGGTGGAGCTCTTGCAAGTGTGGAGGATACCGGGAAGTTGTTTGCTCCATTCTTTAAGAGAGGCCTAAAGAAGCTATAATTTTCTTCGTAGTTTGAAGCTGGCCCAACTAAAGAGCTCGTGCATAGTGGGTGGAAGTGTCTTGAACGGCGTTGATCATGGTATGGTTGCCAATGTCGAGGACATTCCAAGCCAGGATTAACATGAAGAGTGGGGGGAAGGAGGGCGCGTCTAGGCAAGCGCTGAGGGTCTTCACTAGGAGAGGAGGGGACACGAGAGAGTTGGACCATAGATGAAGGGGCAACAAGTCGATCATAATTGATGTCGAAGACCAAGTTGGAGAGTTCCTGTTGCCCTTTCCTTAGGTGGGGAGGGGGTTCACTCTGAGGAATTCTTGAAGGGCTTCTTCTGGGCCTTCAAATTCGATACCCATCACCTGCATGACTTGGTTGATGTTGCCCTGAGCTTGGTCAAGCTCTGAGAAGGTGGAGTCCATAGACATAGGGGAGGTGGAAGCAAAGGGAGAGGTGGTGTGGGAATCGAGCGAGTGAGGGGATGATTGGGGAGAGGGGGCAAGAAAAGCTGGGAGGTGGCTCAAGCAAGGTTTGAAGTAGGTTCCGGGGGAGAGGCCACCTAAGGAGGGTGGGTGGGGATGGAAAGAGAAGGTAAGAGCGTGGGGGAGGAGGAGGGGAAGGGGGGAGAAGGGGTGGGGCTTGAAACGCATGTGATGGGGTGGGATCGCCTATGAGTGGAATGCAGAGAGAATATAGGGGTTTATGGAGGGAAGTGGTGGCAAAGATCTAAGGAGGGACCAAAGACGAAAGGCAACAGTGGAGAGAGGGTACAAGAGGAGTGTGACAGTGGGTGATAGAAGGGGGTAGCTGGAGAGAGTAAGGTTGGGGAGAGGGAGAAGACGACAGAGGCAAAGGTGCCGGTATACTTACCGGTAGAGGAGAGGGAGATAAGATGAGGGGGGTCCTTGGATTTCCATGTTAGTCACAAAGGCAGGCTCGGGAGGGGCGACAGAGGGATCACGAGTTATCCAAGCAAAGATATCTCTCTAAATCTTCGTGGGGTGGGGGTTTGCCTGAGGTGGGGATTGAAAGGACGGTTGCTAGTGCTGCACACCGCCATGGTGGAGGGGATTTGCCGCCAAGGGGAAGAGGGGAGGGGAAGACGAGAGGGTGGAAGCGAGATGGGACACCAATAGGGGGGTTGCCGAAGTATTATCAATGGGAGGAAGAGGGGTGGAAGATTGGGGTAAGGCAGAGAAGGTAGGGGGGTAAGAAAGACGTGAGAGAAGGCTGGAGCAGGGAGTGAGGTGAGAGGGGGAAATGTTGGGGCTATAATTGGAAGAGAGAAATGAAGGAGGTTGAGCAGCTTGAACGAGGGAGGAACAAGAAAGTGAAAGGATAGTCTCGGATCACATGCCTTGGGTAGAGAGAAAGGGGGGCTGGGGCAAAGTTTGGGGGACTGTACAATGGGCTACATGTCGATTGGAGGAGGGACAAGGGTCCACGTGGCAAGAGGAGGGGAGGGGGATCACGTGAGGGGGAGAAGAGTTAGGAGAGGAGTAGGGCTGGGCTGCCAGGATGCCAACTTGGTTGCAGGGTTTGGGCGGCGAAGTGTCAAGGGGTAGTTGGGTGAGGTCGGAGGTGGCGGGACACGTAGTCAACAGCGGTGAGGAGTAAGAGGTGTTGGCGTCCGAGGCAAGAACGGGATGCGAGGGAGGAGAAGGGATCGTTGTAGAAAGGATTTGTGGATCATTTTGGGCTGCGAGATTGGCTCTCCGACGGTTGCAATGAGCTGAGGCTTTTAGGTGACGGGTTACGGTAGTCCACTCGTGGATCACAAGGGGACTCGTTCATGCTCCATAGCGGACATGGTAAGGCGAGGGAGGGGAAGTAGTTTGTCAGGCACAGAGTACCTTGTAGAAATGACCCTCGACTTCCATCCATAGGAATGGGGAAATGGAAGACGGATCCAAGTCCTTGATTAACACCTGGATGGAGCCCATTGGGAGAAGCTTGATGGACCTCCAGTAGATGGAGATGAAGAGTCTGAAGGAGCTAGCTAACCATCTGAAGGTGTCTTTCGTCCATGCATGAATGGGGATTTCAAAGAACCTCATCCAAATCTTATGTGGCTTGAAGGCACCAAGACTAGGGATCCAGGGGTTAGGGAAAGGGTGGCGCCCTTAAACTTATCGGGGGAAGTACTAGGAAACCTCAAGAGCTTTGGAGGGCAAAGGGAAGAGGAAGAGGATTTTGCCTAAGGAGAGCTTCCTACAGCAAAGTTGTGGCAATCCCCACTGCCTTTGAGCCCATTTTTCTATGTTGTGGAAATCGCCACAGCAGGGGGTGAAGGAGCCCAGGAGTGCAGTAGAGAGCTTGGAGAATAGAGATGAGTCTTGTTTGCCATCAAAGGAGAGGGGGGGGTTGGGGAACGGGAGACAAAAGAGGAGGGGGGGGTGAGGCGTGGTGGTGGGGGGGCGAAGCTGGAGGGGCAGAGGGGAGGGAAAGAGTAGTCCTGTGAGATCGAAGAAGGTGGACATAGGTGGAGTAGAGAGGAGGAAGATGAACTTCGATATGGCTTGTCTTTTGTCATGGGAGTTCTATTTTCAAGACCTAGAAAGACGACAAGATTGGTTCTAGTACAGAAATGGAAGAGTTATGTTATCTCCAACGATACTTACTTGCTGAACAATGACATCAATAAACCCACCAATAAAAATTCCATTTTTAAAAATACCTAAGAAAACGGAAAAAGACTGCACTAAGAAGGAGATTCAAGCACCCTCATGATGCTATAATCAGGCAGATAAGTAAGCACAATCTGTATTATGCCATCACTTTCTAAGTGAAAGTATCAACATCATTTTGGGAAAATGATGCCAATTACATCTTGCACACAACAGAATGCCTTCCTATTAAAGCTTCAAGATTGTCCTCTCCAATATGTGGATCTCACCTCCTCTTATGCTGGAAATGAGATCCTAGTATTATAATAGATATAACATGTTACCTCAAATGACGAGTACTTAAGGATGATTTGGATGCAACTGACGGAAAACAGGGATGATCGATTAACTCAGCATTGACAGGTGCTAATTCGGTAACCTTGGCCACTATGATTACAGGGGTGTTCTTAAAAGTCACAAGGAGACACTCTTGTCAAATATTTCTAGGTAATTTTGGCTGTGGGGATTCATATTGGGCTGAAGGAAAAGCCATCCTTCAAGTAATGAAAAGATTCAACCCATCTTGGGGAGAACATCATTTGGAATAAAGAGATTCCTGGAATGTTATCCTATGGGCCTCAAGGAACTCCTCTGTTCCCTGGAAACTATCTTACATATTTTGCCATAATTTTCCACCAGAGCAGGACTCTTCAAGTAGACTTCCATCATACTTGATGGGAGGCGAATGCAATGGCTGGAGCTTTGGTTAAGGAAGGAGCATAGACTGCCTAATTGTTCTCTCCTCCCTCTCACCCTACTGTTCATTTTCTCCAACCTTGTATCTCTTCTCTCTCTCGTATCTCCTTACTCTGTTAAATTCTCCTAAGTCTTCTCTCTCAATCTTCCCCCTCTCCCTATCTCCTCTATGTCTCCTAACTCTTGGTAAATCTCTTTTGCTTCTCATCCCTCTCTATCATTTTCTAGCCCTAACATTTCTCTGTTTCTTCCTATCCTCTACACTTCTCTTTCTACCCTTCTTCGCCACGTACTTTGGTCTTGCTGCAGTCCTTCCTTTTCTCCCCCTACTGTTCTATCCTCCCTCCACCTCCTTTTCTCTCTCCACGACTCGTAAATTTTAAGTCTTTTATATATGTAATTCCCTACCCTCCCCCTCCCCCAGTTTTTGTTCTTAGAGGCCCACCCCTGTTTTGTTTTCTTTTGGGCTTCTCAGCATTTATATATTGTTGTAAAGCACCCAACCTATGGACTGACTCATCCCATCTCTTGTGGGAAACATTTGTAACATATTATACATAAATATATCTTCATCAGATTCAAAAAAAAAAAATTGAATGGATATTTGATCTATTACAAATATTTCATGATATGGTCTGAGTACAATTATAAGTTCTTTTAAGTACTAAAGGCCGAATATGAGAGTGAATATATGCCAAACATTTCTAGGCATGTGGAATAGTGAACCAGAGTACTTATACACCATAATAAAATAATGAACAGAAAGGAAACGTTGACAATTCGAGGAAGGTAGGTTCAGGTTCTCTTCCAGATCAGTATTGGCTGCAAATCATGCTATAAATCATCGTCTCTTCTGTTTTACATAAAAGGGCCCCTTATGTGACTTTGAATCGAAAATAGCCTGAATGTGACTGTAAGAGAGCATTTGGTCACATGTGTTGCAAATTAAAACCTCACGCATGGTGCAGATGAAGTAAGCCCTCCACTATATGCTTCTTGGACATTGCCCAAATAACAATCATAGTTGCATTTTTTTATATTTTTCATTGCTTCCAGTGTTTAACATGCATTTGTCCATGATGGGAATTTCAACACATTCTAAGGATAATTTGAAGGGTATTGGTCCTTTTCACCCCATATAATGGGACTAATGGGATACTAAAATTACAGAGAAAGTTTTATTCTCTGAAAATCTAAGCCTGAAAATAAAAGCCACGGAAGAATGACATTCAACAGCACCAAGTGATAACAAGTTCTTTTTGGGGCACATTAGTAGTGAAACTCAAGCTTTGGGCGCTGTTCTGTTTTTTCCCAATGCCCAATCAGTAAGCCAAGATCACAAACCTCATGTAGATAGAAACTTTGTGAATAGAACCCAAGGAATAATCTCAAGTTCAATGCTAGGAAATCAGAAGTCAGATTGCAGACCTAGATGGTGGGTTGCTCTTGATTGGTGCACAAAGGCCTTAGAATTAATAAACTATTAATGCAATAACTAAATTGACACACATTGCAACATCTTGTTACATACTCATGCTTCAAGTGTTCTCTTCCAAATTTTGTTAGAAATGCTCTAAATTATCACTAAAAGATTTTCCTTTTCTTTTTTTTCAATCTTCAGACAAATTATGGTGAAACAAAGGGTCAGTTACAAAGTTCGCTGAATAATACCTACAAGTGATTTAAACATATATTCTACAGATTTATTAGCTTTAAGTTCAGGATCATGCCATAATATTTTTTATGCAAAGAAATGCATAAATTTAAGGTGGGTAACAATATATATAAGCGCAGAACTTTTTGGTTGATGATATTTGCTAGATATAAATATATTACCTGAATGCAAATGAAATAAGAAGTCCAGGAAAGAGGATGTCTCCAAATCCAATCATGTCATAACCACCCCAAGGGTCAAAAAATCTCGGAATCTTTAAAAGCATTGGAATGCTTTCGCCACTGCTGTCACCACGAGCAACCTAAGGAAAGCACAAGTGGAGTTTAATAAGGATGCACGTGAATTTGTTAGCTATCATCTCCTAGTCCAGTTCCATTTAAGTGATATATCAAAATTTGAAATGCAAAGAAGTGTTACAAAGACTATTAGGCTGCGAAGCCCTCTTCATTGAATGTGACTTTCAGCTAATCTTAAATTTACAAGGGAAAAGTTCGGTTCATTTAAATGATATATCAAAATTTGAAATCAAAGAAGTGTTACAAAGACTATTAGGCTGCGAAGTCCTCTTTTCATTGCATGTGACTTTGAGCTAATCTTAAATTTACTAGGGAAAGAAAAAAAAATCATTCAGTTAAATACTTAATTAAATATTAACTAATTATCCAAACAATAAAATTCAATAATATGGAGCAATGCAAGCCACTGTGACACTACTAGTGCAAATTCCAACTCGATCTTCCTCATAAGCATCAATAGCCTCAAGATACTGCTCCATATCTTATAGAAACTACAACACCACCTAAAAGTCTCTCATGCCTTTGAACCATAGTTGCCGGAAACACCTGAGGTTCTGAATGGTTTTAGGAATCAGAATCACAGAATCATGGCTTGCTATACAATACCTATTTTCGGAATCAACGTCCATACAAAGGGAATCGAGATTCGGCCCAAATAGAAACAAGATCCCTACATATATGGAGTCGAGATTCCAACCTCTTTGGAATCAAATTACCGACCTGTTTGGAATCGACCCATATGGAATCGAGATTCCTTCATATGTGGAATCAAGATTCGACATCTTTGGAATCACATTTTTGATGTATTTGGAATTGAGATTCATAACAGCTTGTAATCGAAATTCATGTCAGTTTGGAATCACGTTTCGACGTAGCAAGCAATCAAGATTGGTAACTCTATAAGGTCAAGCGTCAACTGCCTTGGAAACAAGATTCTTACATCAATGACATCTCATGCCTTAAGAACTTAGAACTTCATCAAGCAATCGAGATCACAGGTCTTCCTACATGGCTACGTCAAAGACATCTCGTTTCTTAACTTAGAACCTCATCAAACCATTGAGATAACTTAGAACCTCTTCAACCAATCGAGATCAGAGGTCTCTAAGACCTAAAGAAGGGTTCCTTAGATTTGAAGTCAAGGTATTGACCATTGATCCTCAGCCACAATATCAGAAGTGTGGTCAATTAATAAACATTCGCAGTCCACTAGGGAAATGTCTACAAAAGATACAAATACTATCCCATATATTTTTAAAATGTTATTTTGATTTCATTATTATAGTTCAAAATAGGATTTTGTCTGTGCGAAGGTATTGTCTGTGTCGTAGTCCTTTTTTAACATACAAATTTCTACCAATTATATTTTAAAAACCGGCGGTCAATCCCAACATTATTAGGAACGTGATCTGAACCAATCCTAGCACTATTAGAAATGTGATCCGAATGAAACCGAAATCTCTATTATTCATAGCACTTATAAATTATGGGAGACAATCAACTCCGGTCTGGTATCCAAATAACACAAATCTAAACCATAAACATCTAAACCAATCCAAACGTCACAGATTTCTGCAAATAGAACATTGATTTCTGATTTGCGGTATTTCACTTCCAAAAAAATCAGATCAATTCTCTATGAGAGTGGAAGCGAGATTCGATGTTTGATTAATTCAAGGTTTCTTGCATCGACAAATTTCAAGAATCTGGATTTGAAAACAATCGAATCAAGTATTATTATATGTGGAATTCAGATTCAACAAGTGTAGAATCGAGATTAAAAAATTGAAGAATCGAGAATCAATAAATTTTAAAAACGAGATTCCATAAATGCTGGAATCGCCGAATCGAGATTCCTAAAATAAGGAATCAAGATTCCTAACTTCATAGAAACGAATCCCATGAAGATTCCTTATTCAATCGTAGAATTTGGATTCAAAAACATAATCACGACCTTGGGTGAGAGATTATGGTAACTATGCTTTGAACACTCTAAATTCTGATACCCACACAATTAGACGATCCAACCTACCCATAGTGTTGCACAAAGCCGTCTTGACAATGACCATGCCTTCTTGCAGGGTCTCAAGACTCACTTTGAAGGAGTCTGAGAAAGATTTAAGGTCATCCATGAGCCCACCCATACGAGCATCACAAGGGCCACATAACTCCTCAATCTCGGTCTCCAAGAAACTGATCCAAGCCTCCAAATCAATGAAGCTCTATGCTAACCCACAATCTTGGGCACTTGGGTCATGATCTACTCAATCTACTCCTAAATTTCGGCTAAGACACCACCAGCCATGGCCATAAAAACACACTTTGATACCAACTACCATGGGTACAAACTTTTCACTTAGCCAAATCATGCAATGCTAAGTTTAAATCTAACCAGGATGAAGGCAAGGCTAGACTTCCATAAAGGCACAAAAGAATGGAGCAAACAAGCACACAAGGTCATACAGAGACACACAAGGGTCGTATCCCGCTTTTATTGCTCTTACACTTGGTCATACACAGCCAAGATACCCCTCAAGGGTCCCAACAAAGGGGTATATACAACCTCGAATATACCAACAGACACCGTCATTTACATTGGCCATTAAGGCCTGCACCACCATCACTGCCCACCACCTAATGTGGCAGTTACACCAGCCCATACCCCATTCTTCAATGACCTACCTAATTTACATGGATCATTAAAGCTGGTTTAAGGTTATGGTCAACCTACTCCACCAGTCATTATTGCGAATGCATGCCAATTTGAACATGCATATTTTTACCTGCATCTTAGTGCCCATTGAACCCACTACATGTGCCCTATCCCACTCACATGGCCGATGGCCGTTACAAAAGCCCATGCCTAGGGCAATTAGTCATTTCAAATTCAAATTCTCACACTTGACTGTTAGGATCAACACACCTACTCAACCAGGGTACGGTCACTCGCCTCTTATACATGATCCATGCTCATGTCTCATCGGGTCAAGCTGCCTACAATCCCATCAACTAAGCCTCAACCTGTTTGACTTGAATGATCCAACAAGCCCCACCATCTAATTAATCTGGATAATCCATTTCAATGGACACTAGGTCTATAAGTTTGTCACCTTATTAGGAGCTCCAAACCCAGTCGTTTACTTTTCCTTGATAATATAGGTAGAAGGATCCAACACCCCATGAGAAGAATCCAGAAGTGCTAGATTTGAAGTCTCATGTCATAAAGATACTTTTTTCAAGATCCTTCTGCATGAAGAATTCAGCTGTGTCAGTGTACATATAGGCAGATCCATATCTATAGGTCTCTGATATGTGTAGAAAGAATAGGGTGATGAACCCATGTAACTTGGACAAATATATTCACAATGATTTTCATAGTTTGTAACAGCGAAAATAGAGCGCAACAGTCCACACTAACAACAATAAGTTAGTTAATAAAACTCCTGGTCCTGAGTAGGCTTACCACAATCATAACACTTTCATGGAATATAAGTGGTGAAATGAAGACCCAAAAGATATCATAGACAAATGCGCAGCTCAAAAACACAGAGGCAATCTGCAAGGTGCAACCATGAGTTAAAAATTTAACATAAAGATCACATACTATAATGAGTGGCAGTGATCAGCATCCTCATACCTTGATATTTGGTAAGCGAGCCATTTGCAGGACCGTTGTCATCAAAGAAATACCCTATAAATGAGCATTTTTAAGAAGTGATGTAACAATTATAAATTGTATCATATATCATGTCCCATACTTGTAGGGGTACAGCTCAAATTGTTATTTTAAGATGTACCAAAAAAGATCATACAGAATTTAAAAAAAGATACTAACCTACGGGAATAAATGGAACCAATAAGTGTAGTATAAACAAAGAGCATTAAAAAGGAAAAAGGAAAAAGGAAACAAGGAACAATCTAACAAACTATTTTTCATTAAAATGAGCAGTATGATCCAAAAGGAAGGGCCGCAGAAAAAGTGAAGATGAACGATTCTTGTTATGGAAATATTCAGCGTAGAGGAAGATGAAGAAAGAAAGAGGATTTATAGAGGGAGGTTCATCCAAAGATAATATAAAAATGCATTTCTAACTGGTTCAAAAGGTTTAGCATATAGAAGCTTTTATCATAAGGAAGAGTCCTCTAAACAATTCACACACCATTATTAGGAAATACTTACATGCAAATGGGCAGTAAGTTACTAATGAAAAGATAACTTGAGTACTGATGAGTAAATGCACTATAATAAGTTTAGATTGTTCTCTAAGGTCGATTATACGTGGCTCATTTTCATGTGGGGTGAGTGAGACATTAAGAATCCCAGTATCAGACAGTGAATACCATATATGATTGTGACCTAGAATCTTTATGGCATAATTATTGTTAGTTTCTCACACTGGTTCTGCTGAAATTAAGTTCAAGTATTTCCAGCATTTAGTTGCGGGCGTTGAGTAGTTCCAGATGATGGCATATATGATACAGAATAATATTAAGCTATACTTAAAAGTTCAAAAAATGAGTACAAAAGAACATAGCTATTTCTGCTTTATAAGGTGACTGACTGCTATATAGGGAAGCTCCGCAAAAAACAGTAGAAGTGGAGCAAAAAATTCTAAAACAGTGATAATAATAGAAAATTCAGAAATAACATGAAAAAGAGAGAGAGAGAGAAAGAGAGAGAGAGAGAGAGAAGAGAGAGAGAGAGAGAGAGAGAGGGGGGGGGAAGGCTTCTTCTAAAAACTCCAGGCTGGTCTTCAAGACAGAATTGGAAAAGTCATACGACAATGTGGACTGGACCATCCTAGACCAAGTGCTCCTACCTAAGGGCTTTAGAGAGAAATGGAAATCCTGGATCAGGGGTTAAGTCTCCTTGACTTGGTCCTCTGTTTCAGTTAATCACTCCCAAAGAGGCTATTTCCTGGCAAAGAGAGGTCTCCAACAAGGAGAGCCTCTATCACCCTTCCTGTTTGACACTACAGGCATGGTGATTGGTAGATCTATACAAAGTTGGCTAGAAGGCTTCAAATCTTACAGGCATGAGGTCACCTCTGACTTGCAACATGTATATGATGTTCTTGTGTTATGCAATGTGAACCCCAATAGGTGGACAATCATTGGTTGTTTCTAAGGTGCTATAAATTCTTGACTGGTGAATATGGCCAAAACCATAGTTACAGGGAGCGCCCAACAAGGGTTGTTCTCCCGCTCCGGCGCTCTGTGGCCGGGATCTCTACCGGAACCATTTCCAATTTTTTTAGGAGCTTGCTCCTATTTATAGGATTCTCGACCCCATTCATAACGGAGCTTGAGCCCACAATCGCACGGATCGCGAACTCACTTTCACACGGAACGCGTTCCTTTAAATTGTAGATCTCGCGACCTCACTCACGTGTGTGTTAGAATACATGTTAACACATCACAAAAAGTTTGTGCTACCGATGGAGTAAATTGTTGTTAGTGTCATCAAGGAGAAACCTGAGTTACTCTTGTATAATGAAATATAAAAATAGATTTATTGTTCATTAGAGATTAAGATAAAAAGAATAAAAATATTGGAAACATTTGGTTTATTTAGCTTTTACATAATATGGTTGTGCGGGTTCATATAAATATATGTTTTAAAAAAATCAATAGATCATTTTTGCATTTAATGCATGTAACGATAAATTTTTATTATTAAAATATTGGGAAAAGTTTATATAAGGTTGCAACCTTAAAATGTAGAATTACATATGCACCTCAAAAATGCATCGTAAAAAATTGTTTTAATGTTGAAAAACTCTCTAATTGATCATCTTGACATCAAGATGTAAGAATATGAAGAACAAAAATATTTTGAGTCCCAGAAATAGTGTATCTTGCAGCACATTATCTACACCGTCCATTATCAAGATTTCCATATGTTTATAGATCTAGTTGATTTTAACCATTTTTGGGCTTTAAAATTTTATAATTAGATGTGAAAATAGATTTTCAGATAATCCTAAAAATTGTTTACACCAAAATTATATGTTATGATAAAATTTGGAGGTGCGCCTTAATTGGATTGTTTAAGGTTGCAACGTTATAGAAACCACACCCTAAAATATTATCTCATTTATTTTTTATGTTTAAGATGTGCATTAATGCACATGTAATGATCAAAATTTTAATTATTAAAATATTAGATGTCCTTAATCACATGTGTGTTGTAGAATACGTGTTAACAAAACACAAAGTTTGTGCTACTAATGGAATAAATTGTTGTTTAGTGCCATCAAGGAGGAACCTTGGTTACTCTTCTATAATGAAATATAAAAAAATATTTATTGTTCATTAGAGATTAAGACGAAAAGAATAAATTATTAGAAACATTTGATTTATTTAGCTTTTACATAATATGGACGTGCGGGTTCACAGAAATATATGTTTTTAAAAAATCAATAGATCAATTTTGCATTTAATGCATGTAACGATAATTTTTTATTATTAAAATATTATCTCCTTTACTTTTTATTTTTAAGATGTGCATTAAATGCACATGTAATGATCAAATGTTTAATTATTAATATATTGGATGCCCTCGCTCATGTATATGTTTTAGAATAACACAACACAAATTTGTGCTACTGATGGAGTAAATTGTTGTTCAGTGCCATAAAGGACAAACCTGAATTACTCTTTTATAATGAAATATAAAAATAGATTTAATGAAAACATTTGGTTTATTTAACTTTTACATAATATGGTCTTGTATGTTCACAAGGAACATGAATACTTAAAGCATTTTTAATGATATCCTTTATGCGCATAATTTCCATTTCCATTTCACGCAAGTTTTTTAATGCATATCTAGCATTTAATGCTATCATTTCAAAAAATATATTTATTTCTTGTGGAGAGTAAAAAGGAAGATTCAAAACTTTTTGAGAAAGTACCTTGAATGGAGCTCGATCCTTTCCAAATAGGAACATGGTCTTTCTTAGATGGGGGCACGACTCAACCTTAAATGAGATCTCGTTCCTATTGTCGATGGGAGCACGATCCTAATGAACATAGGAATATGGAACGCGTTCCCGTTGAATAAGGATCTCGATCCCAATGTATCGAGAACTCGCTCCCTATTCCAATGGGATCTCGATCCGTAACTTCTACTCTCACCGGAACGCGCTCCCTAGGCTCTGAAGCTTTGGCCAGCGGTCGATCTGACGCTCCCGCTCCCGAAACCGGAGCCGTTCCCGCTCCTGCTCCCGATAACTATGGCCAAAACAAATCATGTTTAGGACTGGGGTAACCCCTTAAGAGGTGACAGTCTTAGCTAAAAGATTAGGCCATAGTATGGAGTTCGTACCGAGTAAGTTGTAGAAGACCTCTCGAGGCCCTTTTGGACAAGGTGGTAAAACACTATGATAGAAGACCGGCAGCTTGAAATGCTAGTATTTTTCTTTAGGCCAGATCAGGCCCCTGAGTGAAGTACTGGACTAACTTGTGGAGCAGGCATTTCCTGCTTCAATAATCTCTTCGTCCTGGGCATGGATTGATATGCGATGGCTGCTGACCAATTCAAGCCTTTAGGGGCATCAGAAATACGGTGCCCAAGTTTCAAAAGGGCACTAGAGAAATGTCAGATCTTGAGTCCTTATCATTCTACCTCCAAACAGCCTACTTACCTACAGTAGACCAGCTAAAAACAAGGGGTACTTCCATCCCCAATAGCCATGTGCAAATCAGTAGAAGAGACCAACGAATACCTTTTCCCTCCATTGCGAAATGGCTTCGAGCATTTGGGCAGAGCTCCAACAACTTTTCAAATGGTCATGGGCGATGTTGCCATCTATTCCACACCAATTCCAAGCATTCACATTTCCCCATGGCCGGCTGCTGGTCTAGTCCTTTGGTGTGCTGCAGTGGCAGCCAGAAACTCTAGAATATTTGTAGTGAGGCAACAGCCAACACTAAAGGACCGCATTAGAGCTTCGGTTATATTTTGGACAGAGCACAAAAATGTTCAAACACCATATCTCTTAAAGATGTTCAACACCATACCACAACAAATTTCCTTCAAAACTGGAGAGCCAAGTTAATTATACGACCTGCACGAATTCCTTGCTCTTCACTTTGCGCCCACTGGTGAAAGGGCACAACAAGCTCAACTTCGATGGTGGCTCTCTTAGTAACAAGGGTCAGGAGGGTTATGATAGCCTTCTCCCGGACCACAAAGAGAATGCCCTACTCTTTTATTAAGGATTTATTGGCCACACTGACTCCACAACAGATGCAGCCATCACCCTAATCAGGGCATCAAAAGATCCAACACAGAGTGGAAACCTGCCTAGGCTTGGGGGCAATTCTAAGAATGTCATCTCTTGGGCATGAAGAGCCTCAACCTGCCTGTAGTGACTACAAGAGATATTTGACCACATTTTCAATTTATGCAGGCCCATTCACTCCTTCTTTCAGCCTATGTGGCGGAAGGCCAACAAGGAAGCTAAATAGCCTTGTTAAAAGTGGAGCTAACTCAGGAAATAATAATGGGATTGGCACCTTTTTGAGCTATGGTCTCCAGTCAACTTATTGAGGTAATATGAGTCCTTGTATGCTTACACGAGTTCATTGTTAGAGTATTAAGATGTTGTCATGACATCTCTTGACCTTTGTTTCACATTTTCAGTTTCTTTTTTATTATATTTACTAATATAAGATTGCATTGATGATCAAAAGTGAAAGAGCAAATGAAGAACACATATCAAACGTCCAATTATCGAGCAGCCAATGCTGCACAAAAACCCTGTGCAGCCGGACCACTTTTTCCAATTTTTCAAAATTTTGAAGACCCGCGAGAGTCCAAAGTACCTGAAAATGTTTCTCTATCATAGAAAAAATGGATTTGGAGCAACTAGAAAGCTCCAAATCATCAATACACCATCCATTCAAATGGGCAGTTCATATTTAATTTTAGGAAGGCAGAAGCTCCATGCATTTAATTTTTTTTCTTTACAAGTGATGAGGCTAAGAGAATAATTTGGAGCATCTTGGGACCTCATCCATTCCAAAAAAATCGGTAAATGAGGTGTGGCTAAATGGTTTCAGGTGCAGCCACAGCTGCACCAAAACATTTTTCCACATCATATAGTACATTACTGTCTTTACAGCTTATTACTTCCATCCAGAGGGCAATATAGTAGATAATATGCAATCAACAAAATTAGAGCCTCAAAATCTCCAATTATATTGTCAAATTTAGCTAAATTTTTCCATCCAAAAACCACATATTCCAAAAATAACTACCTGCCAAAGGATGTTGAAAGAATTAGAGTATAGAAAGCCAAAGAAAAATGTCAAAAGAAAAGTAGTTAAATATTGATGGAATCATATAATACAACATTACATCTCAACTCGTAAATAAATTGAAACTATAGAAACTTTATACCTTCTAAAATAGAAATATCCTCTTGACATGAGCTCAATTGGTTTTCTCATTATGAAGCATAGAACCATGTGGTATGGCTTACAATACACCTATATGCATTAGAAAATAGACTGCAGGAAATTGATACTTTCTTTTGCATAATTACATAAGCATTTGTGTAACCTGTATCCGGCAAATCTAGCACTAAAATGATATAGAAGGATTCAAATGAAACAATTGAACCTAAGAATAAGTAGCACTAAATGGAAAGGAGTCAATGGAACTCCAGAAACATTTCAACAAGGCACATGAGTGACCATTATAAAAGTCCTTGAAATTTGTAGACATTTTTAGCAGCATGTATCTTTGAGGTTCGGTACCTTAATCTGAAGTGCAAGCGAAACCCAATATCACAAGCATGCGTGGATAGAAAATCACCAGTTTTATAGACAATGTCTGCTTTATTTTCACTTTCTAATTTGCAAACTTTAATCTACCATAATTATCCAAAACAACGCACATTTAACGATTAGATCATCATGCTTTTCAATATAGGGAATAAACAATAAAAAGAACAACAAAATCAAGGTGCGACTTACTAGAATATCTTGACCAATCCATGCATATGATGCATGCTGATTTGCAGCCCAAAAAATGGAAAATACCATACAGAGTGGTAAAATCACAGCTGAGAGAAGTGGGATCTCCCCAAGAAATGGAAAATTTAGGATTTTCTGCCCGCAGTCTCCAAAGAATCTTGAAGGAAAGACAACCCCAATATAAAAATTTAAAGCAGCAACCAGAGTACGAAAATGAACTAAGGGTATCCCTTTAGTTTACCGTTTACCTTGAAATTAGAGCAACCAGGCATTCGTGCATACCCTACAAAAACAAATAGAGCATTAGCCGGCTTTATTTATGATACTCATGTGAACCATCACTTTAAGTGTATCTATTACCTGCAATCACATCACTGCACCTTCTTCTGAAATGTTACGTACTAAAATACTTGATTTTTAAGAATCTTTTGAAGATCGAAAGAATTTTCAAAACTAATCGATTTCTCGCAAAATCCAAAAGCATTCAACCATATACTTTTTGTGGCTAAGTGGCAATGAAAGAGGGCTTTCAGCAACAACAGCCACCAACTTGAGCAAAGATATATTGCAGTTTGAGAGGGTAATATATTTAATTGTTGGTCAGGGCATGGTGAGTTTTATGAATATTGGGTTTTGACTCTTTTTTCTCTTATTTTTGGTTTTTGTTCTGTACCCTTTTTCAAGTTCAGTTTTGCACTTGTGGTCCCTTTTCAAGACTGGGTTTTGGTTTGTGTTCATTGAAATTTTATTAAGATTGGCTAACCCAATCCTAATAAAATGTCATTACATCTAATTAAAATGGCTCTTTGTCCTACTTTATTGGTCTTAAATTTGTTTTGTGATTGAAAACGGACAATAACGCAATTTGTTTGTATGTTTTTACCCCTTTTCAGTTTTTTATGATTCCTCTTTAATATTTGGTGTTGCATTTATGACTTTTTTATATTTTTAGGTAAGTGTGTTATCATTTTAAAAAATGCTTGTGAAACTTTTGAATCTTTTTTGAAAGGGGGTTCTATAGAACGGCTGTAAGACTAGGCATGCTTTATGGGATGGAACGTTGGACCGTCAAGAAACAACACATTCATAGAATGTATGAAGCTAGGATGAGGATGTTGAGATGAGTGAGTGGCAAGACAAGTTAAGGATAGAATCCAAAGTAAATGCATCCAAGACAACTTAGAAGCAGCTCCAATAGGCGATAAGATGAGGGAAAGTAGACTTTGATGGTCCATGCCACGTAACGCATCTAGGAGGGGTGATTTGGTCCAAGTGGAAGGTCTAAAAGGGTAAAAAGAAGGTCAAAAAGACATGAATGGGAGTAATAAGAAGAGATATGGTAACTTATGGCCTGACTTAGGGTATGGCCCTCGATAGAGCGAAGTGGCAGAACATGATTTGTGTAGCCGGCTCTAAATAGTTGGGACGAGGCTTAGAGGAGGAGGATGACATAATAATACTTTTGAACCTTATGATTTTGCAATTACTAGATATTTCTCCAAGTTGAAGTGTTTCAAACGTCAATCTTTTACTTTAGTGTTGCATCCAAGACTAATTAATTTGAATTTGGTAAATCGCTAAATACTACATATGCAATTAGTAATTTTTTTACGTTTTGCATCAATACTTTTGATTTCTAAATTAATAAGTATTTCTTATTGTCTTCTTGATATTCGGCATGGTGACTTTTTTTTAATAAAGTTTCCATTTTGTTGTTCAAGATTTAGTAATTGAAGATGGCCTCCTATCGTTCTAATAAACAACAGATCCAAGGTAGAAATACAGATCATGCCCAAATTCAAATGACAAGAATTGTGTTGTGTAAATTACCACAAAGTTGGCACTAATAGATTGAAGTAACATTTGGCTGGAAATAGAGGGCATGTAGCCCCATGTACTTAGGTCCCCACAAAAGATAAGAGAGAGAGAGAAGATAAGAGAGAGAGAGGCTGGACCATTTGCAGGGGGTCCAGAAGAAGAAAGAAGCAGAGGAAAAAAACCTTAGTGATCTCACTAGATCGGTTAAAATTTGGAGAGAAAGAGCAGCGGTATATACCCAATAAGGGGGCTCTAGTAGTAGGGCATTGGACTTTAGGCAAAGAGGGCCTCGAGTAAGGAGGTCTATGGCCCCTACCCCTTGATCCTAAGATCGTGGTTCGAGCATAGTTACCATAATCTCTTCGCCCAGATTGTGATTCCACTATGGAATCCTAATTCTGTGATACTGATAAGGAATCTTGATGGAACCCGTTTCCTTAAATTCAAGAATCTCGATTTCTTATTTTAGGAACCTTGATTCCAACTTTTTCCGAATCTCGATCCTAACATTTATGAAATTTTGATTCCAATTTTTCTAAAATCTCAATATCCTCTCTCCCTCTAAACCTACGGTACAATCCAATCATTTGCAGGCTCTATTGAGTTTCATTCTTGATCATGTTTATCTAAAAAACATTTTCTTACTCCTAAATTATTTCAAGAACCAAACGTGAAAGGGACATGGACATTTAGTTAGCCCTGATCATACCCAAACGTGGGGGTATTGTGCTTCTATATTCCGTTTCCTTGTTCTAAGAGAGAGCATTAGAATTAGTCCATTTAGAGACAGAGAGCAGAGAGGGGAGAGAGAGTTGTTGATTCCAACTACATTAGAAACTCAATTCCAAATATATCGGAATCTCGATTTCATAAATGAATGAATCATGATCATAGGGGTCGATTTCAAATATGTCTGAAACTCAATTACAAAGATGTTAGAATGTCAATTCCATGTGTAAGGATCTCGATTATATTTGGATCTGATCTCGATTCCGATAACTAGAAATTTTGTTTCCCGCAATTGCCCTTGTACGAACATCGATTACGAAGACAGGAATCTTCTAGCCAGTCGCAATTCCGCGATTCTAATTCCTAAAAAGATTTCAAATCTCAGGCATTTTCAACAACTATGGTTCGAGAGAGGGGGCAAAAAACCATAAACAGCCCCTTCAACAGAGAACCAATAGAAACATCCATCAATATGTAGTGAGAGGGATCTATTAAGGTAGCCACTTCCTTGAAGAGCTTCCAGGTCATGATGGAAGTTGAGGGGCTATATGGATATAAGGTGCCCACATAATATGAACTTAAGAAGCCCCAACTTAAAAAAGAGGTACAAGTCATCCATGTTTATCTCAAGACACAGGGATGCATGGGGTAGATATGGGGTCATCGTAATGACCAACACATGGACCAATAACAAGCAAAGGAGTATTAGTCAGAATCATGGACAGAGAGTTCTTCCCAAGCTGAATTGTACGATAGTGATAATGTTCTTGAGGTCCATTGAAGTGCTAGACAAGATTCATGATGTAATGCTTATTTCTGATTTGGTGGAAAAATGCAATGAGGAGGAGGGAGAGAGTGATGTAGTTCAGATCGTTATAGACATGGTTGTAGCCAAAATGGTGGCTATTAGAATGTTGGAGATAAGGAAGTTACATTATTGGACACAATATGATGCATACTCATGCTTGATATGATTAGCAAGAAGATCACGAAATTCATATACAACCACACTTGTGATGATCATGACGACAAGCTTCAAAAATAATAAGGACTTCATGAGACCTGGAGTTACTAGAAGTCTCCCGATTTTGGCAAGTCCTGTCATTCCAATCTATTAAGACCCTAAAAGACAAGCTCATGCCCATGTTTGTATCTCAAGAGTATGTTCAAAGCAAGTCGGCCAAGACATCATAATTACCACACAATGAAGGTTGCCAAGGAGGACATTAGAAAGAATTTTGGATAAATTATTATTCTCCTATTTTGAGTGTTGATGAAAAATGGAACTCACATTTAAAGAGGCCCCTTCTTCTAACAAGGTAGTATCAACAGAATGACACAATGGGGTGTTTTTTGCCAAGTGTCAAGGAAGCTAGACAAGTACAGATTATCAATGGGACAAGCGGCATAGAATTGGCTGTAAGGCAAAGGAAAACACTCTCTCTTGAGAACTTCAAAATTTGTTTCGTCATTTTGAATTTCTTATTTGAGTACTTATTGTAAGGGTCTTTTCATATATATGAATTATATATTATACCGATATATATTTCTCTGTGCATGTTTAATTGCATTTTATAAAAAAAAATGGGGTGCAAGCAATATGAATCACATGACTCCTATCTTTCCTTCTCTACTTTCGCTCTTATCACACGGTCGAGGTGGTTCATACTGCATTCTCTATCTACTTTCATCTTCATACTTCTTTCTCTCTCTACTCTCGCCTTATACTAGTTTTAGAGAAAGAACAATAAGTGCTTAATGGCTTATGGAAAGCGTAATTTTGGTTCATAAAAACCAATGGAAAACCTAACAATCAAAACAGCGTGAGGTGCTGGCTCTCTAACCTTGGGTTAAAGCTTATACTTATCCGGAGCTTTGAACCTCATGAGATCCATCAAAGCTAGAGAGAGAGGAACCAAAGTGAAGATCAGGAAGAGGAAGAGAATGATATGAAAATAAAAAAGGCAATCAGGCATTTTGCGGAGTACTTAAACAGGAAAATCTTAGCATGACAACAGGGATGCCCCCATTGTCATTTCTAAGCTCTAAAAGGGCAGCATCTTGTGACTAGGGACCCTCTCTCTCTCTCTC